AATGTCCTTGGGTGAGGATAAGAAAAAAAAAAAAAAAGGAGATAAAGGAAGGAGAAATACATTGTAGCAAAACCATACCCAACTGAGGGCAGTCTCAATGTGCTACTAAACACTACACTTCAGTTTTCAAATGTTTTAAATCCAACAATCTTCTGGCCAGATACCACCTCCTTTCCCACTGCCACAACACAGAACTCCATCCCAAAGGACACTGTACACATTTGTCCTTAAAATATGAAAGTGTGTGGCCATCACCCATATCAACTGACAGTGATCTCCACAGCACACCAGGGATTAGCCGAGTTTCACCCAGAGGCTGCTCCATAGCAGGATGGAGCCCCACATGCCTCCTCTTCAGAGAGCAGACCCATTGGTCATCTAACGTTTTGAAGTCTGTCCCTGAGGCCACTGTTGCTCTCAGATCGGTGTCTCAGGCTGGGTCATTCCATCTCACTAGCATGAGAATCTGAATGGAGGAGGCAGGAGGGAGAGTGTTCTCTACAGAAGTCAGTGGTAGAAACAGGTGCCCATGATATTGGTACACAGGCAGCCCCAGACTCCGAAAAGCATCTTACAGCAAATGGGGAACAGGGGCTTCCACGGCTGATCCTGGTCTTGCCAACCCCACCTGGCAGCTGGGTCCACGCCCCCTACTGGGGATCGAGCCTGCAATGGGCTTGTGCCCTGACTGTGAATCGAACCGGGACCTCTCAGTCCCTGGGGCAATGATCAGTCCGCTGAGCCACACTGGCCAGGCACTAATCCGTTTTTAATTGTTCAAGTTTACAGTTCTGATAAACTCAAAACTGTCCCGAACATGTGAAGGACTTTGCTGTTCTTAGAGCCTTTTAGACAAGGGAATTTAGCCCACTTTGTGCTGCAACAGCACTTTGTAGACAGAACATACTAACTTCCTGTTTCTTAACACATCAAGGTATCCATCCTATCCAGATGCTGTTTATACAAGCTGCCCTCAGCTCCCCAAGGCTGGTTTTCGTTTGAGGCACAATTTGAATGTGGACCTTGGGGACACTACTCTGAAAATGCTCATTTGCAGCCACAGTCCCTTGGTCATGCTTTCCGTGTTGTCACTGTTTGAAAGTTGAGGTTCGCTGCCTTGATCACTCTTTCAGAATCTCATGAGACTTCGTGTATTTCAAAGGTAATAAAGACACAGTCTTTCTCTGGCACCAGGCTGACACCACTCCTTGCCTCGTCTGATTCACAGCAAGCCATGCCCTGATCCACGCTGTGTCATAAGACCTGCTCGGCCCAGCCATCCATCACCTGGCACACGGAGAACATGGGTTTTGGACACATCAGTCTGAATTCAGTAGCACACCCTGGCGGGGGGTGGGGGGCACACCAGTTGAGAACCAGTCCCTGGGTGTTGGAAGTGAGCAAGGACGTCATCTCTTCTGTCCTAGACTACTTTAGTCTCCTCGCTCTTCTGAGCATCTCTGTTCATTGTCACATTGCCATTTCAGACTCAACGCTGTTGGGTCCCAATTTAAAAATCTAGTCATTCTCAAATCCCTGCAGAACCCTTGGCCCCCCATCTTCCAGCGTCTAACTAGAGCCGTGCTGGCGTGCTGAGTCCTTACTGCAGGGCCCAGGGCTGCTCAATGCCCGACCCCAAGCCCTGCTTCCCAGGGTGAGCCCTTCTCTGACCTCCCGAGAGCGCCTCACCCTGGGCAAGGTAACGTTCTACTCCAGTATGGACGCTGCCAGGAGCACAGTTGGGGATCTTTGGAAAATATTAAGTGCAAAAATAATAATATTCCAGAAGATACTGATTTTGACAATGACTTCATTTTGTTAACACGGCTTTATTAGGATTTTCTCACCAAATTACCAATAGGGGACTTGGAGTCAACACATGCATCAGTAGTTTCGTGGGTTTTTTTTTTTTATCCTCACCCGAGGACATTTTTCCATTTTTTTGTTCAGGTAGAGTGGGAGGGAGAGAGAGGAAGAGAAACATTGACGTGAAAGGGACACATCGAGTGATTGCCACCCGCACGGCCAACCAGGGCCGGGGACAAACTGCAACCGAGGTACATGCCCTTAGAGGGAACCGAACCCGGGCCTCTCTGGACCGCAGGCTGACACTCTAACTGCTGAGCCAAACCGACCAAGGCAGTAGTTTGGTGTTTTATTTTTTTATGTTTTCAGCTTTGATTTTGAAAGAGAGAGCTGGTTTTCTTCCCCCAGGAATAAAGGAATAGCAATGTGCCGTTGCCTCCACCTCCATGTGACATTTTAACTTAGGAACATATGGGGGAAGAAATGAAAAGTGTAATTACTGTTCAAAATCACAAGAGGAAAAGACATAGTTTTAAAATCAACTTTAAATCAAAATAATTATTATTGTTTGAGAATCTCTAAATGTTGTTAAATATTTTCCATTAGAACCTTACTGTCTGAAAAAATAAATTGTACCATGTTTTCTTAAGATTAGATCAATTTCAACTGGCTACTCTGAGTCTATCATAAATTGCCTTCAGAGGAAACCAAGAGTCAGTTGTAGGAATTGACCCACCTCTCTGTTCATCTCTGTGGAACAGGTGAAAATTCAACTGCAAGTTTCACTTTGGGTTTTGATTTCAACAGTGGGTAGTTAATGTTCAGTCATTGGCTGAACATGAGTTAATGGCTAAGTGCAAAAGCCAACACTAATATGGCACTTAATATTAGCCTGGCCCTATTGTAGGGGTATGAACATGTCTTAACACATTTAATCCTCGAAGAACCACCAACAGGCAGATACCCTTGTCCACAGATGAGAAAATCTGAGATGCAGAGGGGAACTAACCCAGTGCCATATAATATGTGGAAGGGCCAGGATGGACTACCAGGAAGCTGGGCTCTGAGTCTTAAACACCACACTTCAGTGCCAGAATGAGCACTAACAAATGCTCGCCCCCCCCCCCCCCCGCCGAGGATCCTCCTCCCCAGAAATATGGCGCGTTTTCATAAAAAAGGATAAATGAAAATGGCTGAGTACATGAGAAGACATTAATAAAGACACAAAAAGTTCAAGTGGTTTGCTTGATTATTGAATGAAGCAGACAGGAAAAGATCCAGTACCACATCCATCAGTATATAGTTCTTGCCATTCTGGATTTAGTCTCCAGTTGACAAAACACCCACTTCCAACTGCAATTTCTGGACTCTGAATGACTATCAACTGGAAGTAAGGCTGATGGAACCAGGAACCAGAGATGGATGTACTCTTAACACAGGTGCACAATTCCATCTGCAATGGGCTTGGTCTCATTGACCAAGCTTTCTGTGACCTGGTTGGTTCTCCTAAAGGCTGAAGGTATAATGAATAAATGGGTGAAGGAAAGATAAACAGGGCTTAACACCCCATCCAATAAAGTCTTCACCAGCTCCTCCCAGCTCACCATTGCTTGGAGCAAGCGAAGAGGTCTCCACCCACTAATGTGGGGTGGTTTGTGGAAGGAATTCTGTTCCATGCTCACCAGTGTTCTTCTTGCCTATGACAGTCTTAGCCATCATCATCATTAAAATTTGCCCACATTTCCTTTTCTGAAAATAGAGAGCCTATTTCATGTTCAGAAATGACCGAATGTTTCATCTTTGACATTTCGGAATAATTTTCAAAGATTTCTATTTAATTCCAGAATCGAGACGGAAAGGGAGAACAACCAATTCATTATGCCCTTGCCTTTTCCTGTCCCTTTATCTGAGGGTGGTCTGTTTTCTGAAAATGTAGGGAGAAACAATAATTATTTGTTGGACGGCTGTATCCAGACTCTAAATTACAAAACATGACTTACAGCCTTGGAAGGTAACGATCTGTCCACCTGTAGATTTGATCTTCTTTGCAGAAGATGGACGAGTAGGGGGATTTTTTCGAGTTTAGTTTGTCTTGTGTGGCACCCAATAATTCAAAGCTAGTCAGAGTATTTTCCTGAGTCAGGAGCCTTGAAATGAAAATGCCATAACTGTCAGTGAGACCGATGAGCAAGATCAATACAAATTGCCACCGCTGGGGAGGTGAGGGGGACATTAATTTAGCATTCTGTGTCTGCAAAAGACTGCATTTTCCAATACTAGACTAATGCACAGTGTGGGAGAATTTAGTGTTAGTGCTGGAATTCCCAGGGTGGGTAGGTGGCGGGGAAGCCCTGTGGTTTTGTGTGTTGCACAGTGTATCGCCTAGCAAATTATCCTAACACCAGGACCTAAACCATAAGGCAGGACTTAAATCACCCTTAAAGACCAGGTTTCTCATAAGCCATTTATATTGTTCTCATCATGTCTTTGGTGGGTGGAAGTGTGGCAAAGTATACAAGCTATCGAATGCCTGGATAACTTTTATTGCGTCTGCAAGGCTGTGTTGAGGTATTCTGACACTGCGGGAATCATGATTTGTCCGTGCATGGATTTATACTGACTTCTTTATAGCAGACTGGCAAGTAGGGGACTTTTTAAAAGATGAATCTGTCTTGTGTTGCACCCAGTAATTCAGAATATTAAACTGAGGTCTGACTTATTCAGTCCCAACACACTATCTCAACTTACTTTTCATTGTCAAGCATGCGATTAGCACAAGGAACGTTTTTCCTCACCCACCCCCAAAGCAGTTCAAAGAACAAAGAGCAAGAAGTTTAGAAGCACTGATTTCTGCTTTCACATGTAGCTTTGAACATGAGCTGTTTACTGGTCATCAAATGACTTAAGGGTCAGAAATGCAGTCTTTTTATAATGTTCTGTAAGATAGACCAATAACTGTGCATTCTTATTATAATGTTTTACAAAACAGACCCATTCACTTTGCTATTATCTTTAAGTTGATACGCCCAGTCCATCAAAATCTCACTGGTGAAAGGGCCGACTGAGCATGCATGGTGGGTTGCTCCAGAGTTATTGACGGAAGGGTCACTTGTCCTGGCTTGTCTTTTTTTCCTCTGCCTAGCAGAAACGACCTACTAGGCCACTGGTACTCAAATGCCTTTCATTTTCCATAGAGTTCTGGTGAGGAGGATCCTCCAGCTGAACCAAGATTACCTACCAAGAATTCTGCAATGAAGTGTGACTCCAAACTTCCAGCGATTGACCAAACATCCGTCAAGCAGAAACATAAAAGTACCATGACTACAAGCAAACCAGAGAAAGTGGGCCCCAGCAAACCCTCTCCAGGTGAGTAGTTTATTAAGTTCACGAAGTCTAAATTCCCAGTGTTAAAGGTAATGACAACCATCAAATTGGTGCTTTTGGTTACACCCAGTGCTTTCCAAGTGGCTAATTCAGGTTTTGGAGAGTCCAATGATCTTATGCAAATGGTCAAATGCATTTCTGAGAATATCAGGTCAAGGAGGCCTGGATTATGCAGAATAACTGTCTCCACTGCCCTCATTTTCTGTCCAGTCATTGGCTTTGTGTGGCACTTGCCTAGAATTGCCGCCTTTTCATCTTCTTCACCCTTGGAGGGGGTGGGTCAAGGCATTTGGCCCCAGGTATCAAGTTTTATGACTCAAGCAAGAGCATGAAGAGAAGCTTTCACAAGCATCTGAATGGCATAATTTATAGCCAAGAAAGAGAGTAATAAAGTCCTCCGCTTCTGAGGTTGTCCTCTCTGGGAGAGAAGGGGCTTGATAAATCCTCCCTTTTGTGCAATTTGGTAAATAATTCACTCTTTAGCTGCCTTTGAAGCAAGGACCAGTCCTCTGCTTGAGGCAGGAGTGATTTAATGTATCCAGAAAGGGGATAAATTCAACTGAACATTTAGAGTCCCTCGGGCTCATCCCCATCAGAGCCAACATCTGTAGGACAAACTCAATTCCTCTGGGAACTGACATCGAAGTTGGGGTAACTGGGAAGAAAGTCTGCCTTCTGCTTGCAGTGCAAAAGGAAATGATCCAAACTAACTGCCAAAGGATTCATAAATAGCATGCAGTCACTTACACCCAAGTCACAACTACTTTCTAATCCTAAGTAGCTCTTGTCATGCAACCGTCCATCCAGTTAAGCCTTAATGCATTTTTTTTAAGAAAATGGCAGCTCTCAGATTAACCACCCACATTTTATCACTTTTAATGAAGTAAAAAGCAAATGGACTTCTGAAGTGATGTCCTTTCAGGCAAAGCCCCAACTCTTTTCCTTACTTAATTAGGGGCAAGTATCATCATAGTTAATATCACATTTTGAAGATGTTTGGCAGGAATTGGGTTTTTAATTCAGCTGTTTGCAAATGAAATAAGACAGCCCGGCCGGTGTGGCTCAGTGGTTGAATGTTGACCCATGCACCAAGAGGTCGCTGGTTCGATTCCTGGTCAGGGCACATGACCAGGTTGTGGGCTGGATCCCCAGTGGGGGGCATGCAGTAGGCAGTCAATTGATGTTCCTGCTCATCCATGTTTCTATCTCTCACTCCCTCTCCCTTCCTCTCTCTCTCTCTAAAATTAATAAAGAAACATTTTAAATAAAAATAAAATAAAATCAATACAGAAAAAATTTTTTTAAATGAAATAAGACAGATAAGATCATTCCCCAACTATTTCAAAATACATGTTATAATTTATTGAATTGAAGATGTTTTTAGTAGGAAAAAAATTAATTTAAGTTTAAATAATGTAACTCCATTCACTTGATAGAGTTTTTAGCCTTCTTGCTAAAACTGGGTAGCTGTTCGCATGGTGTGCTTTGTCATGCATGGAGAAAAATTATTAAAATGAACAGTGTAGGCTCACTCAATGATTTTAGCTTGTCTGATTAATACAGATGTAAATTCTCCATATGGAACTTACAACACTGACAAAAAGAATGAATTAATTCACTTTACATTCTATAAAACATCAAATTTGAAAAATTACTAGAGTGCAAAACTCCAAGGTTTAGGCAAAAGAGCCAACTTGGCAGAAAGATATCAATTTCATCAAATAAGGAATGCTACTTGTAGTAAAAAGCCTTTAAAAACCATGCCTGGGCCCGTGTGGCTCAGTGGATTGAGAGGTCCCATGGACTAAGAGGTCCCGGTTCAATTCCCAGTCAGGGTACATGCCTGGGTTTCAGGCTTGATCCCCAGAAGGGGGTGTGCTGAAGGTGGCTGATGGAGTATCTCTCCCAGATTGATGTTTTTCTCTCTCTTTCCCTCTCTCTCTTCCTCACTCTCTTAAAAAACAAAAATCAATAAAAACATTTATTGTTATTATTTTTTATCCTCACTTGAGGACATTTTTTGCATTTATCTTCAGATCGAGTGGGAGGGAGAGAGGGAGGCAGAGAGAGAGAGAGAAACATCAATGTGAGAGAGACACATCGAGTGGTTGCCACCCACAAGACCCCAACCAGGGCCGGGGACAAACTGCAACCGAGGTACATGCCCTTAGCAGGAACTGAACTTGGGACTCTCTGGTCTACAGGCCAACGCTCTAACCACTGAGAAAAACCGGCCAGGGCTCAACAAGAACATTTAAAAACCACCACTTTTATTGTCATATTATGGCCCCAGACCATGTCCCAGACCCACACAGCCATGACCTGGACTGTGGCCTGGCTGTCTAGTGAGCATAGCAGTCCTCGCGACTGATGTCAGTTGCTACAGAAGCCAAATTCGTTGTGCCGAAAACTGGGCTGATCATGAAGTTGGCTGAAAGCAAAGCCTTGGTGTGTTAAGATCCGTTCTATTTACATGTGTAGACTCATCCCTTAAGGAACCCCTCAGAGTTCCTTAATGAGCATAGCAAAATGAGAGCCCAGAGACATGGCGAGAATTTAAGCTGAGTCTCTTCAGGAAAAGGTGAATTGACTGATGGTGACCACTCAGAAAAGTCAGATAAATACCCTGCTGTTACAGGAAAAAAGGATTTGGGACCTGAAATGTCTGGACACATTGATCCAATTCACCAGGTATATTTATCACTTCCTGCTTTTCTTCACCTCTGTAGAGAAATTATTTTCCTCAAGCATTTTGGGGGAAATCCAAAGTTGGCAGCAAGTCACCAAAACTTCCCATGTCAGACCTCAGATTCTTTGCAAAACCGAAGCATCAAACACAGTGAAATCCCTTTGCAACATCTGCCTCATAGGTTAACCTTCCATGCAGTGTTATGCCAGACTTCTGCCAAATAAAATAATGTAGCTGGGGAATGTGGCTTGACTTAACATGCAAATCTATGCAAATGATCATGTCATACAAGAGTTTTTCCTTATTTGGGAACTGCCATCAAGAACCCCTAAAATGGCTATTTACAACATAGGAACCATCCGTGCTCTCTACAAATAGATTTATAACCGAGAAGGCGTCAGATGTTCATTGTTCTTCACACTATTAGAAAGAAGTCACACATTTTAAATTAAGTTCATATATTCCCTGGAACTGTTTCTAAATGAGTCAGCCTGTGCTTCTCCTTACTATCTCTCTCCATGCAAGGGATGTGCAATTCACGAGTGGGCACGTGCTTTGGGGTCAAAATGCTTGGATTAGTGCCTGGGCCCCATTGCTTACTTGCTATGTACCTTTGGGCAAGTAAATTCTTGTGCCTCAGTTTCCTCATCTGTAAAATAGAGGGTGAAAACAGATCTCACTTGCTAGGATTGCTGTGAGGAGTCAGTGATAAAACGTATGCTCAGCCATTAGAATAGTGCCCGACACCATAAGCATTACAGCAGTATGAATCTAGCACGTAAGAGCTGCATTTAATAGGGAGAATGAACTAGAAAGCTTTTTTCCTTTGTCTCAGTGTTGTTCCCTTCCAACCTTATTTTTCCCCTTTGCCAAAAATCAGAGTTATATTTTTAAAGTCCTAACATAAATGCAGGCCCAGACACTTTTACTACACCCTGAATTTCCCAAGCAAAACACCAAATGGAAAGACATGAATGACCAGAAAGCATTTACCAAGCCGGAGATTTGCTTTAGTTCCAAAAGAACATGGAAAATCCAGGCAGGGTCAAGACCCAGCTGGGTCTGATGTGCAACTGATTCAGAAATCCTCTTTCATGATCAAGGCAGACAGTGATGGAGGATGGGAAATAAGCCTAGCAGAGCACAGACTCTTCTTTCCGAATTCTGTGTGGCTCGGTGGGAAGCAGACCAGTCAGCTGGCCTCACCAGTACAGGGGACAGGGAAATGCAAGGAGCCTCAGTGACTCAGGCTCCTGGACTCCTTCCTGCCACAGACCCCTCCCAGCCCCAGCTGGGAAAAGAGCCACCTCTCCTACCCAGGACACACAGAGGCATCCAAAGGCCACTGTGCTGTATGGCTCTGGCTCCGGGAGTCCTAAAGCGCTCTCCACCCCAATGCCAGGCACATGGGAAGTGGGGGTGCCCTCTCCTGCCTTGTCCTTTCACCTAGAGCTTGGGCATCATCCCCCAGTTATGTGCCAGGAAAATGGATCTGGATGGAGTCCTGGAGCCTGCTTCCAAAATCTTGCCCTTTAAAACAAAGCCAAGCATTCTGAAATTATCCTCACTTATACTGAGTTCAATGTTAGTCATTACCAGACTCCGATTTGTAGGAGTGGCAGAACCTATTCAGCCTAATAGCGGCTTATCGTGAAGACATGTTCTCGTAAAACTAAGCAAGAGCAGTGAATTCAGATCTATAAAGATAAACATCTAAAATAACTGTGGTCTCTTTTGAATCGGGAAATATCTAGTTGAAGAGGAGCATGGAAGAGAAATCTGAGGCAAATTCCAAACCTTTGTAATTTACCTTGCAAATAAATTCTGACGAAGATTTTCTCTGAAAGGTCAAGGCTAATCGGTTTCCCGGCGAGTCCACTGGTGCCCAACAACTTTCCAAGCTATCTGCCCCAGTTAGAAAACAACCAACTTGGGTGAATGCTCCCATTTTTTACACAGATCATCATAATTCTCAGTCCATTTATGGTGATGCTTCTAAGGCAGAGGGGCTCTGGGGTGTCACTGAGCCCAGGATTTGAAGTTCCAGCTCAGACTCAATCCAACACGTTATCGCCCTGTAAATGTCTCCAAACTCAGTTTCCTCATCAGCAAAATGGAATTATTACCCGCCTCACCAGGTAGATAGGAGGACTAAAATCCTGGGTACAGACTAGGCCTTGGGTAAAGGTTAACCCCCATCCCCCTCTGCTTATGAAGCCTTCCCCCAACACCATATGCTGCTCTCAGGTTAGCATCTTTATCAGAGAAGTTGTAGTTTGAGATGTAAGAGAAG